ATTTCTATTATTAGGAGGCTAGTAGTATAAGATATGATTCTAGCAGCTGCTTACCTTTGGATAATAGAAAAGAGAAATGGTTTTTAGGTGTTCACTACATTTTGATTACAATCAGTTGGTGAGAGTTATCAGCGTCATCTCGTTTCATTCACTTATTAAAAGTAAACTGAAATAAGCAGTGACACTGCTTATCCCTGACAAATTTATAGAAGAGTTTAGGAAAAATTTAAGTCCATCATGTAAACTACATAAACAACCACTTAAAATCACAGCAAACGTACTCATCGAACTAAATGATACAACAATACCAAGTTGGTTAAAATAATATTCAGTGATATTGTAGCGTGTACTATTGATAAGATTTATCAGTAGTTTATATAAAGACGCTCGTAAGAATAAAACAACATCAAATAATAGCAGGGAGATAGATTTGACGTCAGGGAAAGAAAATGATTCAACCTTGAAGAGAAATATGGGAGACATGAAAAGAAGACAAATAAACACAATATGAAGGACAGAATTAGCACCACACGGAAGATTTGTGCAACTGGTGTGTTGAAGATAAGGTGTAGATAATTTGGCTACATAGCGATACCAAATTCGAGATAAACATTCCTTTACCAAGTCTCTGGTCTTCTACGGTCACAAAATCATCCCAGGTTTCCTTCTGCATGCTGGATTGGAGTTGTCATAACTTAGGCAAGCATGGTGGTTAGGGTTGCCACTTATAGTCACTACAGTATAGCGGGATCCTCCGAACTAGACTATGGATTGATATCAGTTTGAGAACCAGGAAGTACTGGAGAGCTGTTTTGTCTTAGTTTACGACTCACTGGCAGTGCCCATCCCCTGAGTTTCGACTTGTCAATAGAAGTCGTGACTAATGGGGGCCATCCAGTTGGAATTGAGGACGAAGTCCCACAGATGACATTAGTTCGTGGCCACACTAAAAATCACGAATTGGTAGAAGCTGGAATTCATGTGCCACTGAATCGAGTCCCAGCTTCTCTTATAACCGGGAGGTCCTGGTTTCGAAACCCAGTTGGAACTTACTGCCGATGAGTCTAAAAAAGGGACGAAACAGCTATCCTGTATTCCCTGGCTCCCATTGGTTTTCTAACTGATATCAGTTCATGGTCTATCCTGAAACAAACAGTATTCCTACAAATTAATCCTTAAAAATGGTGAGGTATGCTTGCATGTAAGTGACCACAAAAACAGCCCTACATGACATTTGAACAGATTTCAGTGATGGTTTAAGATATGTTGCTAAGTCATCCAAACAAATGATTATAAGTTAATTTGGATTCAAACACATTTTTACGGTCAACGGTATCCGGCATTTAATAAGTCATTTGTGTATATTGAGATAATTTTGCCTCAAATTGAGTTGCTTTCTAGTATTTCTCATAACTAACCTCGCCTAGAATACAAGCCCGCTAGTTTTCTAGCCGGTTCCAAGCCGGATAAAGAGGGAGGGTTGGGGTGTGGTGCTAGCAACTCCATCCAGGTAAAACAACCAACGCGAAAATATATTAAAAATTAAAAAATTATAAACAATAACCTCATTTATCCCTAGAATCGGGGAAGTAAAACGACGCAGGCTGGTGAAAGCTAGCCTTCGGGAAGCCAGTCAGCCGATGTGCCTTCTTTCGATGAAAGCAAAAGTAAGGATGGGTACCTGGAATGTTCGTACAATGTACGAAACTGGAAAGGCTGCCCAGATAGCCGCTGAAATGAGAAGGTACAGAATAGAAGTGTTGGGAATCTGCGAAAGCAGATGGAACGGAACTGGAAGGTGCCAACTACCTACTGGAGAGACAGTAATCTATTCCGGCCACCTAGAGGACAACCATGAGCACACCGAGGGAGTGGCCATCATGATGTCACCAACAGCAACCAAAGCTCTCATGCAGTGGGAACCAATCTCCTCCAGGATAATGACAGCCAGGTTCAACTCAAAAGGAAGGAAAGTTACAGTCATTCAATGTTATGCGCCTACAAACGTCTCAGAACAAGAGAAGAAGGAGGCGTTCTACAGACAACTACAAGCAATAATGGACAACGTCCCAAATGGCGATATCAAAATCCTGATGGGCGACATGAATGCGAAGCTGGGAGGAGACAACACAGGAAGAGAACTCACCATGGGTCGTGAGGCCCTCGGCGAAATGAACGACAATGGTGAACTCTTCTCAGACTTCTGCGCCTTCAATGATTTGGTGATTGGTGGTAGTGTGTTCAAACACAAGGATATACACAAGACGACATGGATTTCACCAGATGGAAACACCAAGAATCAAATAGACTTCATCTCAATTTCAAGAAAGTGGAGACGGAGCCTACTGGACACAAGGTCAAGGAGAGGAGCAGATGTGGGTTCAGACCACTATCTAGTACAAGGGACTTTCAAGGTGAAACTAAAAGCCTCGAGGATAGCTGGGGATAGGCCACAATGCAAGTTCAACACTCAATTACTGAAGGACACAACCACAAAGGACACCTTCACTGCAACTGTCAGAGCAAAGCAGGAAACACTACGCGACATCACTGAAGAATCATGCGTGGAAGAACATTGGAAGTCTCTGAAGGCGATTCTCAACGAAACGTGTTCAACGGTTCTAGGAAGAAAGAAGAGACAAGACAAGGAATGGCTCTCAACGGACACTTGGAAATTAATAGAAGAGAGGAGAATGGTGAAAGAGAAAATGATTCAATGCAAGGACGGACAGGAGAAAGAGACGCTGAGCTCAACTTACAAAGCATTGGACAAAGAAGTGAAGAAAAGTGCTAGGAAGGACAAAAGACGATTCTACGACAACCTGGCCACTGAAGCTGAAAAGGCAGCAGGCAAAAGGGACCTGAGGACACTATATCAGATAACCAAATCTCTATCCGGGAAGAGATCAACACAAGCGAAACCTATAAAAGACAGCCAAGGGAACCCAATTACCAAGGAAGAAAAACAGATTAAACAATGGGCGGATCACTTCAAAGGACTCTTGAACCGACCATCACCTGCAACCCGTCCAGAAATACCAACAACAGCACGCACACAACTGCAAGTTGACACCAATCCTCCAACGAGAGCTGAAGTCTTGAATGCATTCAAGACAGTGTTGACGGCGAAGTGATTTGGAAATTACTCGAGTACTGTGGCGTACCCCAAATATTCCTCAACCTTATTCAACAGCTGTACGACAACTACACATGCCAAGTGATCCACAACGGAAAATGCAGCGAGGCGTTTGGAGTCAACACAGGAGTCAGACAAAGGTGATTATTACCACCAATGATGTTCCTAATTGTGATGGACTGACTGGATTATGCGTCAGACAGTGGGAAACGAGAAGACAGGAATATCCTGGACCGACATGGGGAACCTAGAAGAACTGGATTTCGCTCGTGGATGATATATGCTTGATGTCACACACAATCGAAGACTTACAAGCGAAAACCGACAAACTGGTCGAAGTAGCAGTCAGCGAAGACAGGAATCCAGGTGAACATAGACAAGACGAAGGTTATGAAAAGAACCAACCAACAACAACAACAACATCCAACGTCAATCACCATCAATGGGAGGGATTTGAAAGAGGTTACTTCATCCACTTATCTAGCCAGGGAGCATTGTCTCAACTGCAGGAGGGGCGGACGAGGATGTCAAATCGAGCGAGAATCAAGGCGGTGAGAAACACACATTCCTCAACCTGAAATCAATCTGGAAATCTTCATCACTCAGCCAGCATCAACAACAAAATTCCGTAGGATTTTCAATACAAACGTAAAGTCAGTTCTTCTATACGGATCAGAAACTTGGCGAGTCACAAAAAATATTTCCAACAGCCTGTTACAAACCTTCATCAACAACTGTCTTCGCTCTATACTGAAGATCAGATGGCTGGAAAGAATCATCAACAAGGAATTATGGGGACAAACAAAACAAGAACCAACTGCCAACCAATAAATATGGAGGAGGAAGTGGAGATGGATTGGACACTCGCTCGCTGAGGAGACCACTGGTTGACATCGCGCGCGCGTCAGGCCATTGGTCGAGTGGAACCAGGCCGAAAAGGAAGCGGCAAGTGGGACGTCAGCGCGAGGGTGACATGGAGGATATCGTGTGAAGAGGAGTTGAAACAGTGTGAACTAACATGGATGCAGGTGAAAAGTACAGCAGAAGGAAGACAGAAGTGGCAAGTGTAGACGTGCAGTTGAAGCCCTATGTTCCACTAAGAACCCAAGGGAGCAATAATAATAATGCCACAACTGGCTGCTTAAACTATCAGTATCTGCTACAGCTTCAGAAACAGAGAATACTAAAATGTCAGTAGTGCAGTGGTAACAGCAATGTCCGGATACTGCATCACGAAAGATCAGTGGAACTGTTTCTGTACTTGAAGGAGTAAGTGTCGACGAAGCGGTACTCATTAAACGAAAAATGAACCGCGGTAGGAAATGAGCGAATCAAATGTTTGGGTGCTTGGACTGTACGACACAACTCTTCGGCATATGTCTCTACGACGCCTCTCAAAAAGAAGAGCTGTTGTTTTCCTGCCAAGTATACAACGACTATTCCCCCAAAGCACTACCATTCACACAGATGAGTGGATACGATATTAGCAACTATCAACATTAGACTGCATTCATCATAAAAATAATAATAATAATTTTTTCTTCACGTCCGTAGTGGAACATAGGGCCTCAAGCTAGTGGCTTGAAGTTTCTATAGCAGTGTTTATTTTACAGGATGGGGTTGCTAGCCTCATGCCCAAGCTTCTCTCTTTTCCAGCATTTTTTCGGGCTTAGCGAGGTAAAGGAGTGAGCCAGCCAGGGATCGAACCCTGGACCATGTGCATGGACGGCGAGCGTCCTAACCGCTGTGCCACCGACGCATTCATCATAAAGTCAATCATACTTCTGAACTAATAGATCCTATCAGTGAAACCCACACAAGTTCTGTTGAAGGATTCTGAGCCCATCTGAATAAACGTATCAGAATGGTAAGTGGTTCCCGAAATGATATCGTATATAACCATTTAGATGAATTTTTGTATCGACATTGGTTTGATATGTCTGTAACCACTCCTATGAGAAACTGAGACCATTCTTTGCAGCGTGTCAGAGATATATACCCTGTATAATTCATTTTTATTACAAATATATCTTACTTTGGTTAAAAATTAAATGACACTTTTCGCCCGAAAGAATCTGATTGGTCGCTTTAAGGTCATTCGACTTTGGTATCTATCATTTACTGTAGCCAGTTATTCTTCTGATTAAGTTGATCAACTGAATCAGATGCACACTAGTTACATGGAAGGATTCTAGGAATATTTGAAGCATACGAAATGATATGAGATACAGTCATGTCAATAAAATTATTTTGGACATAGACTACCACTCCAACAGCGAACTGGAAGACATTTACGGAACATCTAGGAGATCGTCATCCTGTATGACCTTAACACCAGTTGTCTTTAATAAAAGTTCCTTTAAAAATAATGCCTTTCAACCATGTTGTCCGTTTGTTTTGTTATTCAAGGTTATTTGGTTGGCTATTCGTTTCGGTAGACATAATTTACTGTTGCCAATGGGTTGTCTCAATTCTCTACACACCTTTAAGAACCTCTAAATAATCAATAATCACACAGTATAATAAAAATGTTGTTCATTGATTTATCTTTACCATGCTTTGATTGGTTTATATATTTCGATTTAACCTTGAATATGTTTGTCTCACCAAAGTGTATGAAACATGCTTTGCCGTCTGGTTCACATAGTAGTAACATAGTCACGTCTGAGATCAGATGTTCATTGTATACAGGAATATACGTGAGTTTGTTTAGACTTTATGTTCATCTCATTACAATATAAAGACAATTATATTTCTTTTCCATTAAAGTGGTGATTTTATGTACGTAGATATGTTAATCATTTTTAGCATTTTGATAAGACTTTAAAGCATGTTATTTACTTAATTCAAAGAGCAAAGTGGAACTGTAGACATACAAAGAGCGCAAACATACCATGGACTTCGGGAGCGGAAGGTCATTATATTGCATATCTCTTTTTTGAAATGTCCCCATTTTCTTCTTCCGGTGGGCATATTTCAATAAATAGGCCAAATATACTAGCATGATTTCATGAAAATTCAGAAATATACTTTTAAATTTTGAACTTACTCCCCCCTTCAATCTATTACGTTGAGCAGATATCAGTATCAAGAGATATTTTATGAGAAAAGTGCAGCAAATGTAGCGCAACTTAAGTACTTTATGCTGTCACTCTTACCCACGTCAGAAGAAAAATTGGGCAAGAGTAATGAATAGACACCAACTTCAGACGACTTTGAAACAGCCAATCAGATTCCCCCGGGTGAAATTACAAATATATATATATAATTGTTCCCTTAGGTTCCGAGTGAAACATAGGGCTTCAACTGCACGTCTACACTTGCCGCTTCTGTCTTCCTTCTGCTGTACTTTTCACCTGCATCCATGTTAGTCCACACTGTTTCAACTCCTCTTCACACGATCTCCTCCATGTCACCCTCGCACTGACGTCCCAAGCGCCGCTTCCTTTCCGGCCTGGTTCCACTCGACCAATGGCCTGACGCGCGCACGATGTCACCTAGTGGTCTCCTCAGCGAGCGAGTGTCCAATCCATCTCCACTTTTTCCTTCATATTTGTTAGGCGATTGGTTCTTGTTTTGTTTGTCCCCATAATTCCTTGTTGGTGATTCTTTCCAGCCATCTGATCTTCAGTATACAGCGAAGACAGTTGTTGGTTGATAAAGGTCTGCAACAGGCTGTTGAAAATATTTTTTGTGACTCGCCAAGTTTCTTATCCGTATAGAAGAACTGACTTTACGTTTGTATTGAAAATCCTACGGAATTTTGTTGTTGATGCTGGCTGAGTGACGAAGATTTCCAGATTGATTTCAGATTGATGAATGTGTTTCTCGCCTTCCTGATTCTCGCCCGATTTGACATCCTCGTCCGCCCCTCCTGTAGTTGAGACAATGCTCCCTGGCTAGATAAGTGGATGAAGTAACCTCTTTGAAATCCCTCCCGTTGATGGTGATTGACGTTGGATGTTGTTGTTGTTGTTGGTTGGTTATTTTCATAACCTTCGTCTTGTCTATGTTCACCTGGAGTCCTGTCTTCGCTGACTGCTACTTCGACCAGTTTGTCGGTTTTCGCTTGTAAGTCTTCGATTGTGTGTGACATCAAGCATAAATCATCCACGCGCGAAATCCAGGTCCTCTAGGTTCCCCATGTCGGTCCAGGATATTCCTGTCTTCTCGTTTCCCACTGTCTGACGCATAATCCAGTCAGTCCATCACAATTAGGAACGTCATTGGTGGTAATAATCACCTTTGTCTGACTCCAGTGTTGACTCCAAACGCCTCGCTGCATTTTCCGTTGTGGATCACTTGGCATGTGTAGTTGTCGTACAGCTGTTGAATAAGGTTGAGGAATATTTTGGGTACGCCATAGTACTTGAGTAATTTCCAAATCACTTCGCCGTCAACACTGTCTGTCGAAGGCCTTCTCGAAGTCTATAAGGTGGAGGTAGAGGTTTGTTTGCCATTCCATGGTTTGTTCTCTGATGATGATGCGTAGAGTTGCAATTTGGTCAGTACATGATTTGCCTTTCCTGAATCCAGCTTGTTCTGGTCGGAGTTCTGTCTTCAGTGCGTCCTTTATTCTCTCCAGGATGATGCGACTCAGGATTTTTCTTAGCGTCGATAGGAGCATGATTTTCGCCAGTTCTTGCAGAGTGACGCCTGAGTCTCCTGTCTTCGGTAGTTTTACGAGGTAACCCTTCCTCCTCGGTTGAAAAGTAACACTTAATTTCTAAAAAATTGCATCAATGATATATGCAATAAAAATGAATCATACAGGGTATATATCTTCAATATGCTGTAGAAACTGGCCCCAATTTCTCACAGAAGTGGTTATCAACATAACAAACCAGTGTGTTTTCTGTCTCTAAAGCTGTAGCAGATGCTAGTCTCATATGCTCAATATTTTACCAAGGGAGAGTTTTGATTTCGTGATTGAGTCCAAAAAATCACTATTAGGTACGATTTACCAACTCTTATAAACTTCCTCATATAATAGTGATTGCATCTGAATGCATAACTATCAATAGCAACAACAACAATACTTATTCAGAGTCATTATCCCTCCACATATGCATGCTTCATTCCATCCCATCAACCCACCTTCTACGGAGAAGTCAAAAATCAGCTGAGCGATCTGATTGGTCAGATCAAGGTCATATGACCTTGGTGTCTATTGTTTACCTTTGCCGAAAATTGTTTAGTGTACGATTTGATTTGAAAGCACGTAAAAATTATAATTTGTTATCTAAGCACCATAGCAGCGGATTACGCCGCTACAATTACAGGGGATGTGTAATAAAGCTACTCCCATTCAGAGATATTGGGATAAAAGTTGAATTTTGTTATAGGATGGTTGGAGGCGATCGGTAGGACGACTTCGATCTGAACATTCCTGAGCATGGCGTATCTGCAACTTTATATTTTATTCCTTCACGTTCCCAGTGGAACATAGGGCATCAAGCTATTATTGATATACGTATAAAAATTGGGCACTGTGGAGGACTACAACTCCATAATGGATAAGATTTTATTTTGATAAATCACACACAGTGTTGTACAGTTATATTAACTGATGACGTTTCGAGCACAAACTATTGCTCATAATCATTTCAAGTAACTCACACAACTTTTTTCTTTCATTTATATGCATGTGTGGAATGGATTACATATTGGATTAAAAATCAATGTGAGATAATGTTCATTCAAAAGTAATAATACGAGTGTTATTGATCAATTACAATTAGATGGGAAATAAGACGAGTGTTTTTATAGTCATAATACGTTACTTGTTAGAATGTTGGGATGTGTTTGAATTGAAATAGAATTTTAAGATTATTTATTGTCTTCTTCTGATTTGACTTGAGGTAATATTATCTTCCATATTTCTGGTATTTGCATTTAGTCACTTCTGTTACATGTGTTGGGTGTAGACTCGACGAATAAGGATTCCGTAATCAACCTCTCTCTCCACCTACCTATATTACTTTTTAGAATTTTAATCCTATCCCACCCTATTGTGTGGTTTTTTTTTGTTAATGCGTGAAGTGCAATGGCTGAGCTTTTTTTTAAATTACTTATCTTTTCAGGGTCAACCATTCTTACCTTAGCTAAATTCTTATGTTCTGATAATCTGACTACCCATGACCTACTAGTTTGACCTATGTAGTTGACTTCACAGTCATTGCAGGGTATTTTGTAAATTATGTTATTTTGTCTAATTGGGTCCACGGGGTCTTTTAGCCTACGGAGCTTGTCCCTGAGTGAGTTTGTAGGTTTAAATGCCACCCTTACTAGTCTTTTCACTAATATACCAGTCATTGTGGCCTTAGAAGGAGTTAAAAAGAACTAACTGCGGATCATGAACTGAATCATAGGACAAAGCTACCCATTAAAAAATTATATTAGGGATTCAGTTATGCCTCATATCTACTATCTTTAAGTTCCAAGGCAAAATATATAGACAAACAGAGGGTGTAGCAATGGGATCACCAATATCCCCTATTGTAGCAGACATATTTATGGACAGCTGGGAAAGTAGTGCTCTTAATACGTTTAATCCTACTCCAAAAATATGGTGGAGATATGTGGATGACACTTTCACTTGCAGTGCGTCGGTGGCACAGTGGTTAGGACTCTCGCCGACCATGAACATGGTCCGAGGTTCGAGCCCACGCCGACGCACACCTGATATCTATGGTTGGCCTGCGAATTTTGGGCTACCGATATCCACGCTGAAAATTCCATACTTGTACCAAAAATACGGTGTGGAGTCAAGCTGTAATCAAAAATAAAAATGAATAAAATAAAACATATCTCTCTCTAGCTTCTTGACACACATAAACTCACAAGTAGAGGGAATAAAATTCACATTTGAATCAGAAAATGAACAAGGAGAATTAGCTATGTTAGATTGTAAGATAAAACTGATAGAAGAAGGCAAACTACACACTAGTGTTTATAGAAAACCAACGCATTCTAATAGATATTTAGACTTTAATTCGTCTCATCCTTTAACTGTTAAGGCAGGCTTAGTTAAATGTTTAACAAACCGAGCAGTGGCACTAAGTAGCACAAAAAAAGACCTAAATGATGAACTAAAACAGATAGAAGAAGCGTTGGTGTTGAATAACTATCCCATAAAATCCATTAGGAAGATCATTAAAGGCCAAAAACAAAATAAAAATAATTGTGAAACTAGTAATAACAAGATAAATAAGAGAGAATAGAAGTCATCTAAACTTATACCATATAAAGAGGGGACATCTGAGACCGTACGTAGGATTCTAAATAAGGCAGGAATTAGGACGGCATTTAAACCTACAAACTCACTCAGGGACAAGCTCTGTAGGCTAAAAGACCCCGTGGACCCAATTAGACAAAATAACATAATTTACAAAATACCCTGCAATGACTGTGAAGTCAACTACATAGGTCAAACTAGTAGGTCATGGGTAGTCAGATTATCAGAACATAAGAATTTAGCTAAGGTAAGAATGGTTGACCCTGAAAAGATAAGTAATTTTAAAAAAAGCTCAGCTATTGCACTTCACGCATTAACAAAAAAAACCACACAATAGGGTGGGGTAGGATTAAAATTCTAAAAAGTAATATAGGTAGGTGGAGAGAGAGGTTGATTACGGAATCCTTATTCGTCGAGTCTACACCCAACACATGTAACAGAAGTGACTAAATGCAAATACCA